CCTGCGCTGCTTTTGACTCGACAGCTCGTCTTGGTCTACCGCTACACTACGGAAACGCTGGGCAATGGCCCCCAATGGCCCAGCACTGAGCTTCGCCGGTTCAATCCCGCTGCTTCCAGTGCCCTTATCGGAGTGCGCTGATTGACTCCTGTCATAGACGGAGCAGGAAAGGCGGCGCCACAGTCTACAGCCCTCTCCTCGCAATCGAAGAGATCGGGCTACTAAAGTGGAGAAAATCTTCTCTCCAGAATGTGCAAATATCATCTTGGAGAGTAAACACCCTATTTTGGAAGGTCAACACTGTCTCCCAGTCACCCCTCCCACCTCCTGCAGGTTTCCGAGGTGCAGTCGTTCTCAGGTTCGCCTCACACATACCTGCATTGTGTTAAATTGCTAACTTAACTGAGTCGCCTTTGTTTCTATTGCACTTCCACTCTGGTTTTTGCATGGTGATGATTTCTTGCTTTTCTGTATTTCAAATACATAGGTGTCATCCAAGCTCTTCGGGAGGATGAATGCACAAGACAGTGCTGTTCACAGATTCCTCGGGGCTGTGTCCTGTTCCCAGTTCCTGGCTGTCTGGTGTATTGTCCTGAGACACTAGTGACATTCCTCAGGCAGGCCTCCGGTATTTTACTCAGATCAGAACAAAATAACACAATAAAAAGATCTGTATTGTTTTTCACATTTCACTTTTTGGCTGTTCTGTAATGTTAATTTATCTTTTCCATTTTTGGTTTTCATTTTTTTTTAAGGTGATTAAGATTTTTTTTGCTACCACCGCTAAAGACCATAATTTCAAACATATGCTTTATATTGCAAAGATTCTTGCTGTAACAATCGTGATAGTATGGACCCTATGGAGGCCATAGAGAGAGAGTGTACATATCCTATGTCGGTCTTTAGAATTGTTTTTCATTGGAATAAGCTGTCCTCTATTTTTACATAATACATAATAGTGCAGTAGAAATCAAATAAAATAAACTCAGACAGAGCTCAATATAAGATAAGATTTTATCGTCCCCTAAGGGAAAGTTTTTATGGACACCCAGCACTCCTGTACATTTAAATAGAATGTAA